GTATAGTGCTAGCTCACTGAGATACCATGTCGCAGTTTAACATGAATACCCCACTCAGGCACTACCACTAGACCACGGAGGCGGTCCTTGACAGAGTAGTTCTATGAAGCTTATCTTTGTTACTATGTGAGACCTGACTGTTATTGTGTCATTGTATCCCGTTGACTTGAATATGGGGATCGGGATGCCACAAGGTGGGTTGCTATTGTGTTATTGTGTCATGCAGGTGTCAATATGGGACATACGACGGCCTCATTTAAAAGGATTTGCGTCATAGTGAAACTGTGACATTACGTGATGTCATAGTGAGTGAGTATGCTTTTACGCCACTGTTAGCAATATTCCAGCAATATCATGGCGGGAGACACCAGAAATAGGCTTCACACAATGTACCCATGTCGGGAATCGAACCCGGGTCTTCGGCGTGACGAGCAAACGCTTTAACCACGAGGCTGCCCCACCGCCCCTGATGTCATAGAGGTATATTGAGTCAATTGGGTTTATTGAATGCTGGGTCTGTGGCATTACATTTTGTAAAATGGACACACTTGAGGAACGACTTGTGATCAAGTACTAACAGATTGTTGTTCGGCTGACAGTGGTGAACCCAGGTTTCAGCTATCATCACACATCGTTGCAAAAACCTTTCTGTATCAGCTTCTAACATATCTTCATACATTGTACCCATGTGGGGAATCGAACCCAGACCCAGATGTTTTAACCACCAGGCCACCTAACCTGCCCTGTTAACAATGAAACATCCTGTCATGTTTTACAGCTTATTTGTACGAAGGAATTTCCTACCGACGCTACCCACGGCCTTTCCGCTCGCATCGCTCCAGTAAATCGGCGGGCACCTTCAGAGCAGGGAAATGTCAATGTCAGCCATCACAGTGTAAAGTCACCTTCCCTGAACTCCAAGCGTGGGTTCAGGCACGGACATTAACAACATGCCAGGGTCACAGTTATCCTCGGGTACACTGATGCGGCGGAGATACTGTTTCCCTCAGTACTGCGCAGCAGTTTAGACGTCACGGTTCGTGACTATGGGTAGCTAGCGGAGCTATCTCACGCGTGGTTTGGCGATACGCCTTATCGGAATGTGAAATCAGGCTTCATCGCTCGTATTAAAGTGATACATAAATCAAATAAACTTTTGTTTCCATTATCCTTAACATGTCTTCATATTACTGCAGCTGTGGTTTTCCTATAAAAAATATCAATCTCACTCGACTTCTGAAGGGGGTCAGTGAATGAGGATAAAAGCTTTTAAATCACATCTAGAGACTAGACTGACGGGTGAAAGAAAGAACACACTTGAAAATTGGATTTCGCCAAAAAATACAACGTTATCAAAACGTTAATTGGCTGAAAACAGTCACGGAAACACAGCAAACTTAAGGTCCAAAATATAACTGTGGTATCAGTATGAAATACAGCACCGAATAACCATTTCTTGCTTTTTCATTTTAAACCACTATCAAAATTGGGTGTTGAGTAAACTTTCCTTTGCCTGGCAGTGTATGTAATGAGTGAGTGAGTGAGTGAGTGAGTTGGGTTTAACGCCGCTTTTAACAGTATTCCAGTCATATCACGGGGTTTGAGCCTAATGTGGGAGGTAAGCCAGAAGTGATGCAGGTCTCAGACGTTTACCACTTCGGTGAAACTCACGAACACGGGTATGGTGCTGACAAACCTAGAAACATCATCGGGGCGAACCGGGATTCGAACCCACAATCATAGGTTTCTGGCGTACCCAAAGGACGCCCCTTTGCACAGCGAATCGCGGCGCCTTAGACGACTGGGCCACCCGTGCCCCCGTGTCGGTTGCGTATCTCTTTGGGTATACAGCTTGGTAGGTTAATCGTCTCGTATAATCAGTAGTAGAATGACTTTGTTTAAAATATGCCTTTGTTCACCCAGCAGTGAAAGGGGTACCAGGTAGGATGAGATGGTAATGTCACTGTTCTAGTGCCTCACAGGCAGTTTTGGATGTATACTCCCCAGGGAGTTCATCCACTGACCGGGATAATAACGTAGCGATTTGAGCATGCTTTGAGTGACAGCCAAGGATTATACTCAGGAGTCACAACCAAGAATTATAATCAGGAGTGACAACCAAGGATTATACTCAGGAGTCACAACCAAGGATTATAATGAGGAGTCACAACCAAGAATTATAATCAGGAGTCATATACAATAATGATAATCATGAGTGACAGCCATGGATTATACTCAGGAGTCACAACCAAGGATTAAAATGAGCAGTACTTTCCAAGAATGATAATAAGGAGTGACAACTAAGGAATATAATCAGGAGTGACAACCAAGGATTATAATCAGGAGTCACAACCAACAATGACAATCAGGATACCAAGTCACCAATGACCTAAGCCAGTATACATCCGTTCATTGACCAAAGCCACACGATGGTAAAAAATGAGCACTAAATAGTGGGGCAGAAGCACAGCTAGCTTTCAATAATACATCATCAGCAATGCTGACACATAATGAAGTTATGTTCGCCTTGAAATGCTTCATGACTCCTCATAGCAGATTGCCATTAAGGGACGTCTCTTTACACCTCAGTGAACCTACATGGGCAGTAGGATAGCCAAGTGGATAAAGCGATATTCATCACGCCGAAGACCCGGGTTCTATTTCCCACATGGGTACATTATGTGAAGCTCATTTCTGTTGTCCCCTGCGTGATATTGGTGGAATATTGCTAAAAGCGGCGTAAAACCATATTCACTTACTCGTTAAGCTACGAGTAGTTAAACCATCGTACCTAGTCTTACCCGGCGTTTAACTATGTCAGTTGTAGTGAGTGAGTGAGTATGGTTTTACGCCGCTTTTAGCAATATTCCAGCAATATCGCGGCGGGGGACACCAGAAATGGGCTTCACACATTGTACCCATGTCGGGAATCGGACCCGGGTCTTCGGCGTGACGATCGAAAGCTTTAACCACTAGGCTACCCGACCGCCCTATGTCAGTTGTAAAATAGGTGAATACGTGACTAGTTTTAACACTTGATGAAGAAGCGGTGTAAATAGTTATATATATTTACTTACATTAAGACGTACGAGATATCCATTTGTGTGGTTTCAGTTTTATCACGGCGAATGCGCTTGAAGAGGGAGGAATGTGATGCGGGTCCTTGACGTTTGGTGAAGCCCAGCGAACACAGATACGGTGTTGGCAAATCATAGTAAGGGTGAATTTAGGATTCGAACTCACGATGATCTGATCATGATATGAATTGCGTATTTTACATATTATGCGTGTGCCTTGATCAGCGTATTTTACATATTATGAGTGTGCCTTGATCAGCGTTATTTTACATGTTATGAGAGTGCCTTGATCAGTGGCATTTTACATGTTATGAGTGTGCCTTGATCAGCGTATTTTACATGTTATAAGAGCGCCTTGATCAGTGTTACTTTACATATTATGAGAGTGCCTTGATCAGTGTTACTTTACATATTATGAGTGTGCCTTAATCAGTGTTATTGTACATATTATGAGTGTGCCTTAATCAGTGTTATTGTACATATTATGAGTGTGCCTTAATCAGTGTTATTGTACATATTATGAGTGTGCCTTAATCAGTGTTATTGTACATATTGTGAGTGTGCCTTAATCAGTGTTATTGTATATATTATGAGTGTGCCTCAATCAGTGTTATTGTACATTTTGTGAGTGTGCATTAATCAGTGTTATTGTACATATTATGAGTGTGCCTTAATCAGTGTTATTTTATACTTATTATGAGTGTGCCTTAATCAGTGTTATTGTACATATTATGAGTGTGCCTTAATCAGTGTTATTGTACATATTATGAGTGTGCCTCAATCAGTGTTGTTGTACATATTATGAGTGTGCCTTAATCAGTGTTATTGTACATATTATGAGTGTGCCTTAAACAGTGTTATTGTACAAAATATGAGTGTGCTTCAATCAGTGTTATTGTACATATTATGAGTGTGCCTTAATCACTGTTATTGAACATATTATGAGTGTGCCTTAATCAGTGTTATTGTACATATTATGAGTGTGCCTTAATCAGTGATATTGTACATATTATGAGTGTGCCTTAATCAGTGTTATTGTACATATTATGAGTGTGCCTTGATCAGTGTTATTGTACATGTTATCAGTGTGCCTTGATCAGTGTTATTGTACATATTATGAGTGTGCCTTGATCAGTGTTATTGTACATATTATGAGTGTGCCTCAATCAGTGTTATTGTACATGTTGTGAGTGTGCCTTAATCAGTGTTATTGTACATATTATGAGTGTGCCTCAAACAGTGTTATTGTACATATTATGAGTGTGCCTTAATCAGTGTTATTGTACATATTATGAGTGTGCCTTAATCAGTGTTATTGTACATATTGTGAGTGTGCCTTAATCAGTGTTATTGTACATATTATGAGTGTGCCTCAATCAGTGTTATTGTACATTTTGTGAGTGTGCATTAATCAGTGTGATTGAACATATTATGAGTGTGCCTTAATCAGTGTTATTGTACATATTATGAGTGTGCCTTAATCAGTGTTATTGTACATATTATGAGAGTGCCTTGATCAGTGTTATTGTACATGTTATGAGTGTCCCTTTTTAGTGTCATGTTACTCATTTAAAGTCTAAAGTTGACAGCTGAAGAGCTCTAATAATGAATGTGGGCACGTCGCCGGTCATGTGACATGTGGGACACCCGGAGAAGATCCGGTTTAGAATAGGTCTTCAGCAACCCATGCTTGTCCTAAGGGGCGCCTAACGCGATCGGGTGGTCAGGCTTGCTGACTTGGTTGATGTATGTCATCGTATCCCAATTCAAAGATCGATGCTCATGATGTCAATCACTGGATTGTCCGGTCCAGACTTGATTATTTACAGACCGCTGTCATACAGCTTGAATATTGCTGAGTGCGGCGTTAAAAAACAAACAAACTTGAATGTATAAGATTTAAAAAATAAAAAAACAAACATATATGCAAAAAAATTCATTTATTTCTGAATAAATGCAAGTAACAAGTATTTACAATTTAAATTATAAAATCTCGTGTAATCATTCAGAGAAGTTTCAACTTAAAAAAATATACAACTGATTTTCATATACCCGCAGATACCTGAAATGTAAGTCATTGTAAGTCCAGATCCAACCTCACGAGGCTATTTCCACACCCATACAATTGAAGAATATCTATTCCCTTCACACCGCCTTGCTCCAGAATTACACTGAAAGACTCGGAGCCGCGGTGGTGCTCCGTCTTTGCTAACCCACGTATGTTACATTTCCAAAAATATTTTTGGATCTTGCCAAAGATGTAATACAAACAATACAAAATATCCTTTATCCCAACTTTTTTTAAAAATATTTTTTGTTAAAGTTGTGAACTGCATATGCATTGCATTGGATAACCAGATTGTCACCACAGCCCTTTGCTCTAGCTTAAGTAGGGTAGGGCTCTAGTTGAAGTACGCTAGAGCTCAAGATAAGAGTGTTTATGTACAAAAGTAGATCTAGCTGGGATGTATAAAAATAGACAACAGCGTGCTATATATACTTGTGTATCATAGCAGTAAACATTTGAAACATAATATTAACATAAACTGACCAGCTGGCATATTCGTTGTTGCGTGTAAAAACTGGTATCTTGTTGATTAATTTATTGCGTTTTACGCGCTGGAAGATGTGTTTATATACAGGGGTTATGAGATTGTCTTCCAAAAAAAAATAAACATCACAAGAGTTCTGCCAAATTATGCCAAATCATATTCATTCCGCAATTTCCAAATACCATTATCAACTGATCAGCTGATTTTGCGAGTTGCATGAACTGAGATGTCGGAAAGTACCGCGAACTACCGAATGAACACCAGTCGGTAAACAGGTACCCGGAAAGGGAGGTCGCGCATGCGTAGTCACAATGCTGTATTTATAGCTTTGGTTGTTGAAGTGAATCACAGTTTGGTGTCGAAGGCGTTGTTTCGGATGCCCTCTCCTTTTCGTTGATAAGCGTTGTCGTAGTCTTGGCTTTCGTTGCTGATGTAGAAGGCATGTTTCTTCTCGTCCGAGCCAACGATGTTGTGTTTGTCAAGGCCGTTTCCGTTAATGTTTTTGAAAGCTGGTTCCGACTTTTCATTCTAAAACAAGAGCCTAAATTTACCACATGGATTAGTCGGGTATTGAGACATACATTAACGACAGAAACACACATTTGTCACTTGCATTAGTGTGCTACATAACATCACACATAGTTGAATATTTACACATTTACCTCAAAGTATTATATATATTTTGATGGTAACTCGATGACACGACCAAGCTTGTTACGAAACCGGTCTGTTTTTTTTAAATGGTTAAACTATTCCAATTGCTGCCCCTTGTTAAAATGTACAGTCGGTGATTGTCTCCTTACCTTCTCGGAGTCCTTGACCTTGTCTTTCTTTGAGTTGGGGAGGAGGTCGTCCAGGTACTTCAGCTCATACTGGCTAAACACACAGTCTAAGATCTTCCTGACTACACCGGTGAACACAACCTGCCGACGAAAGTTACATTGTTGATTAATGGTCGTGTTATTTAATGTAAGTTCATATTCATTTGCAAATCATTTACATACACATCGAAGCACGTGACACAGTCCGTTTTTTTGGAATACTTATATCCTATACATGTGTCTTCTAAGCATCAATAGACCGCCTCCGTGGTCTTGTGGTAGAGCGTCCGCCCGGAGAGCGGAAGGTCCAGGGTTCGATCCCGGGCCGCGTCATACAAAAAGACGTTAAAAGATTGTACTTGTTGTTACCCTGTCTGGCGCTCGGCATTAAGGGGCTAAAACAAGGACTGGTCGGCTCGGAGTCAGTATACTGTGTCTGAGTGGGGTATTCATGTTAAACTGCGGCATGGTATCTCAGTGAGCTAGCACTATAAATCGGCATCAGTCCGGACTAGTACAAGCAGCCACACACACACATACACGTGCATGCACGTCGCTATATGAGTGCAATAATCTTGGACGCGACGTTAAACCCAATTTCACCTCACCTCACTCTAAGCATCAATGTCGTGAAGATCCGGGTAGAATTGGCCTCCAGCAACCCATGCTGGCCGTAAAAGGCGACTATGCTTGTCGTTAGAGGCGACGAGGGATCGGGTCGTCAGGCTCGCTGACTTGGTTGATGCATGTCATCGTATTGCGTGGATCGATGCTCATGATATCAATCACTGGATTGTCTCGATTATTTACACAGACCGCCGTCATAAAGCTGGATTATTGCTGTGTGCGGCGTTAAAAAACAAACAAACAAAGAAATCGATCGTCTTGGTTTTGGAAGACCAGTCTTAAATAACGATGGTGATTTGATATGAACAGAACTACAAATTATATCACGGTTGAGTACGGCAGGTTGGAGATTGTAGACGGTTACAAGTTTGGTAAACTCAAGACCACGTATGTGTAGGACCAAGCATTGAACCGAAATTGGGATTCGAACCCAGGACCTAGCTCGACTAAGGGGCACAACTCTGCACAGTAATATACTGCGACTGGGTCCACTGGACAACGGTGACAACGTTTAGTTTGTGCAGTAATATTGGGTACACTGCAACGCAGATGTCGCTGTTGTATCGTAGATGATGACGTACCAGGAGGGGGAAGCCGATGGAGATGCTCTTGATGCTCTTTACGACCCACAGAGCCACCAAGCAAAGGACCTGGACGAAGGTGAAGATGTGTACGCGCCAGAGACGGACGTGACGTAGGTAGGGGTAATCGGGCTGATACTTGCTGGGCATGAAGAACAGGAGCAACCGGTCGATAAACTGTAACAGAAAACATACATGTGATATATAACCAGAGGGACAGGCTATACATGTCGATAAACTAAAACTTGATTTGTGCATGATTGATTATCATCTGGTCTGAACAAATATAATGTCAGTTAATGTTTAATGAAGACTGAGTGAGTATTGTTTTACACCTGTTACAGCAATATTTTAAAGCAATATCACGGCGGATGACACCAGAAATGAGCAATTATGGGATTCGAACTCATGGTCATCGGATCCTGGTGCGGCTAAAGAACTCGCCAGACCACTGTGAGATACACCTGTTACAGCAATATTTTAAAGCAATATCACGGCGGGTGACACCAGAAATGGGCAATTATGGGATTCGAACTCATGGTCATCGGATCCTGGTGCGACTAAAGAACTCGCTAGACCACTGTGAGATACACAACGATATAAATAGATGTATATAGACAACATATACGGTTCTCTATATACATATAGATAGACATTTTGCTGTATGACATGGGTAGCCGGACGGTTAGTGTGCTCGGATGTAAGGTGTCTGAGAGGGTTTGAGTCTTACCTGCATTCCCTTGAGGGCCGAGAATCCCATGTAGAAGAAGACACCATACAGCACAGGCATAGGAATGACCTGTAACACAACGACACCGTGAGTAACAAAGGCAGACAAATAATAGTCAATAGTTAGTTGATAAGGCTGCTTGTCGTAAAAGGCGACTAACGGGATCGGGTGGTCAGGCTCGCTGACATGGTTGATGCATGTCATCGTATCCAGATTACGTAGATCGATGCTCATGATGTCAATCACTTGATTGTCTGGTCCAGACTCGATTATTTACAGACCGCCGTCATATAGCTTAAATATTGCTGAGTGCGGCGTTAAACAAACAAACAAACAAACAAACAAACAGTAGATTGGGCACACAAGAAACCAATGTTGCTGTTGTACGTTCTGACTTCAGAGAGATAGATGAACAAAACACCAGTATCCTATCGCGAGTGAGTATGGTTTTACGCTGCTTTCAGCATAATTCCAGGAATATCACCTATTCTGATGGGGAACTTTATATCAGATTCGTTGATGTATTAATCCAGGATATTCATGAAGAGACATTGTCAACTTACCTTCAGGACGTTTGTGATGAGCACAGCCAGACCACTAAGGATTCCTACAAGAAGAGCGGTGACTCTTTGTTCTCTGCAAAACAAACAGAAGACGTTGATGAGAATGACCTACTGATGTAGATATATTATCGATATAAGTAGTACCTACGCCCAAGGCTATCACCTGTCGATAACAAACACATTGAATTTCTTTGAACTTAAGTCGAGACAAATTAAAACTCTCCACAAATACTTTTTATTACCATGCGTATTTACTTGGTTAGCGAGCCTTCAGTGTTTATGAGATAAAGCGATGATAATTGTCCGGTGTACACTTTTACGGTAGTGCATGGTGACATCTGATGTTAATAAGGTTGTATGTATATGCTAGACTGGCGAGATATGAAATGTATGTTAAACAGGTGTCTGTTTCATCATGACATCCATCAAAAGGTGTTCATTTCATCTTTCGTGATTTACGACCTGCATCAACATGGCCGGTTTATTAATGGCTAACACGGTGACAGTTTATAACTTAGGTCTTTAATCACGTGCACGAGGCGTTATCTGGTGTGTTTGCCGTCTTGACGGAAAAGCACAGTGTGGGAGTGTTTATAATGAAGTAGAAGCGGGTACGGTGTCTGCTTGTAATTTATGACTGTATATATCACATAGCAACGTAACTTTGATCTCAAAACCTAAACAGTAACCAAATATATATGTCACGATGTTAGTATGCTCTGACACGTGGACTGCCCTGCCCGTTGTCACCAAATAAAGTTGCTAGGCGCAATGATAGATTTTCACTTGTGATTACAAATATGAATATAATATGAACCCGTTTTATCCAGACGGGTCGCTAAAATCGTGAATGCCCATATTTGTACATACTTAATTTCTTAACATTTATCACTGCGATTAAAGAATGCCGGATTAACGGGGTTATACTTTTCTGAGGTGAACATGTACCATTACATTACTTGTTATGACCATAACAGTACTGTATAAAAATACATGGTTAACCTTAAACTAATCGAATGGGACTCACTGTCGTTGTTAGGTTATATATTTCATACAGGTTGTAAAATGGGTACCCGGCGGAACGAGGATTACAAATGGACATATTTGATCATGTTTCTGAGTTACAAGGTTAAGTTTAAGAAAATGATGTAATGGGTTGGTTTTCCAGTGGTAGATGTTTGGGGTTCAGTCACACAAGGGTAGTTACCTAACACCCAGGAAGGCGGGTTTGTCTCCGGGGGCTGTGGATTCCGACTCCTTCCTGAGACTCTGGATGTGGGCAATGGCGGACACAGTGGCGGCGACGTACCAGGGGAGTCCCAGCAGAGAGTGGGCAGTGACCAGGATACACAGCACGAACAGGTCGAGATGATAGCCCTTGCCCTTCTGTAAATGGGGGAGGGAATAGGTGACAAATAAACGTGTGATCAGAGATGATGTATGACTGTGGTCTTAGGGCTACGTTAAAATGAGGGTTTATAAGCTGAGGGATATAAGTAGTCAGATGCAAGTTCTTATCAGGCTATATATATGTTTTGTTCTGATGTTGAAGAAAATATGGAAGGTTTTGATGTTTGAAAAGCAATGCCAATTGACACGTGGTCGACATACGGTCGGCAGGGAATAGTGCAAGGTCATGTTCGAACGTTACTGACCTTGAGGAGGTTTTCCTTCCTGTTGACAATGACGGCGGTGATCTGCTGATCCATGAAGATGAGGATGGTGCCGATGATGGCGGGGAGACCGGCAGCCAGAGCCAACCACCAAGGGTTTTTCTCAGAGACAGGGTTGATGAACCAGCCTCGGTCCGAGCGGGTGGGCTACACAGAAACAGGTACAAGTCAAAATATGTTCATGTCAATGATAAGGTTTAAAGGGATGTGTACTACCAAGTTCTTCACGAAATGTATTCATGACGAATGGTGACTGTATAGAAAACGAGACGGTGTCCGGGGATTTAGTTAAATAAAATACACACAGTGTATTAGAGGTGAGGTGAAATGGGGTTTAATGTCGCGTCCAAGATTATTGCACTTATGTAGCGACGTGCATGTACGTGTGTGTGTTTGTGTGGCTGCTTGTACTAGTCCGGACTGATGCCGATTTATAGTGCTAGCTCACTGAGATACCATGCCGCAGTTTAACATGAATACCCCACTCAGACACAGTATACTGACTCCGAGCCGACCAGTCCTTGTTTTAGCCCCTTAATGCCGAGCGCCAGACAGGGGAACAACAAGTACCATCTTTTAACGTCTTTTGATATGACGCGGCCGGGGATCGTACCCCGGACCTTCCGCTCTCCGGGCGGACGCTCTACCACTAGACCACGGAGGCGGTCTACAGTATATTAGACGAGAGTTGGAATGTACCTTGAACTCCTCTGGCACGGTCAGTTTGGGTGTGGGAAGTCCGAGCAGGTAATCGACCACAACCATCAACACAATGGCGATGAGAACACCGAAGTCGCTGATAATCTGGCGCACCTGTAAACAGAACAACCAATCAGCATTGCTGGAGCACACGGACGTCGGAGAAGACACCATTTTGAAAACGAGAAGAAATATTGACATTACGTTGGGATAGAGACTGTATAAGTGAGTGAGTGAGTAGGGTTTAAAGCCGCTTTTAACAGTATTCCAGTCATATCAAGACGTGGCAGCTTCCTGTGGGAAGATGCATGTCTCAGACGTTTAACACTTCGGTGAAACCTGTTTCGGGAATAGTACTACTATTGGTATTACTTGTTGAAGGGACTGTGTTTAAAATCTATACTTACGAAGGTCGGGAAGCAGGGGAAGGTCTTGAAAGTGACACAGAAGATGGCGATGCCGAAGGTGCCGAAGTAAAGGATGATGGAGAACATGAAGGCGTCAGGGACGGGGCCGACACAGTGCCACGTTCCGAACATCTCCTTGCACTCTTCCTTGGATAGATGGGTCATGTTCTCGTGTTCCATTCCATTGGTGCTCATATCCATAGTGTTGTTGATGACGCTGGCCATTGTAGTGGTCATGTTACCGAGGGTGTGGTTGAGGGAGTCGTGTATGGGAGCCATGGTGGTGATGGTGTCGGGGAGGGTACAGTGACACACACGGGGGGTGAAGTTTCCGGAGGGGTGGAGCTCGACAGGGGCTTCTTCAGACCCTATCTCCCCTAGTTTGACGAACGCCTCGTATATGAATATGAACGCTATAAGACAGGCGAAACTTTCCTCGGTGAAACGAGTGATGTACTTGACAAGAGCGCTCAGATCCCACATGACAATCAGAAGAAGGAATCCGGCGGTCCAGATACCAATCCACGCACGGAACGGCAGGAAGTCCCATTCTTGATCCCTGAAGGTAACGAAGCGCAAGGTGAAGGTCAGGTCACGTTTCAGGCATTTCTTACAATTGTTAAAAAATTTGGAGATAGTAATTATTATTACATCAGGATATAAGATAATTATATCAGTTGTAAACATTGCTCGATGTCCTATATTTGGTGCAGGTTTTACTTACTTGCAGATATCATATATAATCTTCTCAAGCACCAACATCGGCCCAGTACTGCCAAGGATGTTTAGGGGTTGACCTGCGAATAACGCAAATGCTATTCCCGTCACAGCGGCAGCGAAGATACACTCCATGACACCCTGGAAAATGAAGAGTTTGGTAAGTATCAACAAACAAAATAACTACAAAATACAACATTATACAACAATTGCTTCCAAATGTAGGGCATCTAGGTTTCTTCAAGACATCTAAGTTGGAATTCTTCTCTAATGGAGTCTCAGTGGTCAACAAGGCATACATCTCAAACCCCATTAACTTGGAGTCATACGACCAAACATATTGTGATATCCGCGGTCGACCATGCAAGCAAAGGTGTCTGGGGGCCCATATTTTTACCTGGAATCCCCGAGGTTGGTGAGTGAGTGAGTGAGTTGGTTTTACGCCGCTTTTAGCAATATTCCAGCAATATCACGGCGGGGGACACCAGAAATGGGCTTCACACATTTTACGCATGTCGGGAATCGAACCCGGGTCTTCGGCGTGACGAGCGAACGCTTTAACCACTAGGCTACCCGACCGCCCCCGAAGTTGTCTGGATGATCAAAGCTTGGGACGTACCATGTATTGGTTGGTGGATTGTCCTAATATTCCGCCGAAGGTGACGTTTGGGGTGAGGGTGGCGAGGAAGATGTAGATGAAAGAGGCGATACATTGGATGTGGATGGCGTCCTTAAAGTCACTCATGTAGAACGGGGCTTTCCTGCGGATGTCACGGATAAGCCCGAGGAAAGGCCTGGAAGGAAGAAGAGGATATTGTCACTCGGATGACGTTGTGAATAAGTGTTGGTGTGATACATAATGTTTTGTTCCCACCGTTGTTATCAGATTGCAACACAAAAGAGAAAAAACAGAAATGAAAAAACACCCACCTGCAACTCAGGTTGAGGTCAGGGTCAGCGTGACCTTCATCCTCGTCGTCGTCGCCGCCCGGGACGGGGACCATGTCGCCCTCAAAGAAGTCCGCCGAGGAGGGTGTTTTACGGAACTGTTGGTTGGGAACCGCGTCTGGGGGCTCAATTCTGATCTTTGGGTCCCACTCGCCAGGGGGCAGCACAGTCACCTGCTCCAGAAACTCGTCGATTCCTGCCACCAAGTCATCTTTGTTCCTGCACTTGTACGCCACCTCTCGGAAGATCTGAATAACAAGGAGCGATTCATTAAAACCTTTCACAGACATTAAGTACCAACGTGTATCATTATAGGATATAGTGAGTGAGTGAGTATGGTTTTACGCCGCTTTTAGCAATATTCCAGCAATATCACGGAGGGGGACACCAAAAATGGGCTTCACACATTGTACCCATGTCGGGAATCGAACCCGGGTCTTCGGCATGACGATCGAAAGCTTTAACCACGAGGCTACCCGACCGCCTCTTATAGGATATAGGAACTTAAATGACATTAGGCATCATTTATCAGAGGCTCTGAAGGCAAATCGGGTAGCGTATGACATTCCTCTATTTACTTTCGTGGACCGCCTCCGTGGTCTAGTGGTAGAACGCATGATACCAAAACACATTGAAATATGGTACTTGTTGTTACCTTGCCTGGCGCCCATTTACTTTCCTGAGTTTTAGAGAGCGTGAGAAACTTTATCGATCGGCAGTATTGTTTCTTTTTTTAGGAGTTAAGATTCGGGACATATCAGAACGCTATACAATGAAGGTCGTATAACCGAGTCCAGAAGAAGTCAAGTATGCAGCGGTGGTTACTCACGTCGTCCACCATCATGGTGCCGAGGCAGCGGCCACTTTCCATGTAGTCGGCGATGAACTTGGGCGGTCCTACCAGAAGGAACACAAATCTCGTAGGCAGGTTCACTTCCGAGATGTCGCCAAGGCAACGGCCGTCGTTGAGTCGCATGAAGCCACAGAGGGCGCTCGATAGCTCATCCACAGCACCGATCATGATATTGGCAACTTCGGCACCCTTCGGGATTTTCCGAAGGATACGCTCGTTCTGTTTCTTGGTGTAGTTGCCCGCCAAGTCGCTGTCCAAGGACTCCAGGCTGGTATGGCTGAGGTTGTGGTTGAGACTCACCTGGCTGCTCACGTGGGTCAGCTGGCTGAAACCTGGACAAAAGAGTAAAGCCAGTTAACCTTAAAGGTCAAGAAGAAGTAATACGAATTACAGCGAGTTTTATCAGTTTCTTGCTTGACGCCGCACTCAGCAGTTTTACAGATATCTGACGGCGGCCTGTAAAAAATCAGTGATCAATATTGTGAGCACCGATCCACGCTGTCGGGTTATGGAACAGGTTATCAACCATGTCCAACCGATCCATTTGGTCGCCTCGTCAGACTTTCTTAAGTTGCTAGGGACCTATTCTTACCCGAAATCTACAATTGCTTGAGACACCAGTCGTAGATATGAGTGAGTATGGATGTTCGCCGCTTTTAGCAACATTCCAACAATGTCACGGCAAAGGACACCAGAAATGGGCTTCACATATTGTACCCATATGTGGAATTAAATCCGGGTATTCAGCGTGACGAGGGAAACGCTTTAAGACTAGACTACCCCACCGCCCCGATACTACCCGGATGTTACACTGGGTATGTATCGGCGTAAAGAGTTTTGACTTCATGTTACTCAGCCACGAGTTAACTGTCATAGTCTAGTAGTGTCAGTTACGTGTTTGACTTACTGTTGGTTGACGCTGTTCGGTTCATATCGCCCTTTCCCTTCTTCTTCTCTCCCTTCTCCGCGCCGTGGCGATGGTGCTTTAACAGTAGTGTGCGCACGTGTTGGCGGAGAAGAGGGTCAAGCTGACCTAGTTTTATCCACTCGTCAAGGAACTTCTCTGGAATGGATTGAAAGAAAGGACATCAGGAACTATAGCTAAGAGAAGCGACGTGTGCTAGTAGTTTAGTGTGTGTCTTTATGACTAAGTGAGTAAGTTTAACACAGCTTTCAAAATTCAACGTGCAGAACCATGGCCACTAAACTGACACATTGTTGAAGGGGACTAAACTCCACAATCGGTGCCCGTATCTATGTCTAGGTGTTGTCGTGCTTGTGTAATCATGTTAATGCTTAACCGCCCTGTTATTATACAAGAACAATCACTGACTAAAAAGATTTGAATCAAACTGCATTTGCTCAGAACCCAGTCCCGCTTGAATCTGTGATAGCCTAGTGTAAAATGTTGCTATCGACAGTTTCTACAGACACATGGATGCTGCCATTGTCTAGTTTAGTTCAGCGTTTGTGATGCGGAGTAACGTGATGACGTACCGACGACTTGGGAGATGGAGTAGGCCTCTGTATCGAGGTGAATGACACCGTCCATCAGCTGCCTCCTAGTTTCAACAAGATGGTGCATGGACAGGGACGCCACGTGAGGCTTGGACCAGCGTTCTCCTCCCTCCTCCATTTTCTCCTCGTACTTGACCCATCTGAAACAGTAGCCCTGGTTAGAAGACTGGACAAGGTAGCATGGAACACTAGCGTACTTCTGCGGGGCTTTAATGTCAGGACTCATCAAAGTCTCGGCTACAAGAGAACTAGAAGTCTCACATTAACCGAATCGATTAAAAGGTTCTGCACCATTTATGCTTACGACATTTTCTGTGACACTTGGCTTGGCTAGGCACTGATTTTGGTGTTAACTCACCTGGCGACTTCTCTCCACTCAAAGTCCTCTCCCCTCTTCTTGAGCACGTCCATCTCGGAAAAGACTTTGTGTGCGCGATGTTTGATGTCGGTGACGCTGTTGAGGAGGCTCTGGATACGCTCGGACGGAACGTAGTCGTCGTCCCCGTACAGAGTGAACTTGGAACCGTCGGCTGAATATTGGAAAACGCTAAACATCAATCTCTGTTGCTCGTATTTACATATGTTTGGGTTTTTTTGTTTGTTGTTTAACGCCACACTCAGCAATAGTCAAGCTATATGACGGCGGTCTGTTAATAATCGAGTCCGGTCAGACAATCCAGTGATTGACATCATCAGCAGCGATCCACGAAATTGGTACACGATGACATCCATCAACCAAGTCAGCGAGCCTGAACACCCGATCCCGGTAGTCGCCTCTTACGACAAGCATAGTCACCTTTTCGGCAAGCATGGGTTGCTGATGACCCATTCTACCTGAATCTTGAGTCTGTTTACATAGAATATGTAGATGATTAGTAGATATGCTTACGGGGCAATATACGGAGGTAGCGCGATAACATACCTATGATACCACCAGGCACGCCTGACACCATGGAATACCAAGTAAATGGGTTAAATGGTGGTTCAATGGTCCCATGGTCATAGGTCTCGCCAGTGGTAGGTTCGAATCTCAGGTCAACCCCGATAATTCACGGTCTGTCAAGATCGAACCATTCCCTTGGTTTCATCAAAGTGGTAAACGAAACCTGCTTTAGGCTTCTACATTAAGATGAAACGCCACTATATAACTGAAATACTGTTCAAACGGCAGTGATCCTTGCTCAATCGCTCACATATTGCTGCTGAGTGTGGCCGACATTGTATTGTACACTTACGCATGATATCGTCTTCTTCCACGATGCTGGGCCGGATAGGCTTGTGTGGGGCTACGACGTTGAGATACATCGACGTACTCCTCTTGAACACTGAAACAAATATGGATAATTGGCTCGACGTCATCAGATAACATATATCGCGTACTAGTACATGAATGACGTATTTTATGCAAACATCCCTATATACACAGGACGTACCTGTCACTCTGAGTATACGTAATTATTACTGTGCTAGGTATACAGTAAACGGTTATAACGAACACGCTTATAACGAACTGACGGATATAAGGAACTATTTTTTGGTCCCGGCCATTAGCTGTATACATGCTGTATATGTGCTTACAAGGAACAATTATAACGAGCAAAAAGTAGTGTTTCCTTGAAGTTCGTTATAACCGTAGTTTAATGGATTTGTCTCCCTTACGGTGTCAACGGTCTTCAAGGTCAAACAGATGTCAAAGTTCAGTGGTCGTTAACGGAAACTTCTCTGAATGTTACAGGCGATAGAAGAATAAGATATTGAACTGGGAGCTTTGCCAGCTGATAATAGTGACAACAATGATACTATTTGGAGAAAGAGGTCGTTAAGGATGTGTGACATGCTTCAGGCGAAACTACAGCGCCATCTGGGGGCCATGAGCGCGTCAAGATGGCGTACGCATTTTGTGTTTTATGTGTTAATGATTCGCTTCAGGCGTAAGCGAGGTACTTTTCTCCGTGATTTTATATAAAGATGGACTATACAAACATGGGGAAACATTCTCAATAATACAACATTAACGTTGATATCTTTTTCATTTTTTTCACAAAGTAGATAAATAATGACATGGTGACAATGACCCTTGAAAAACTAGTTTCATATTTCGATTGTAATTAAGTGATCAAGAAAATGGTTACGAAATAATATTGGGATGGCTTTCGAACCCGACATTGTTATATTGATAGGGGCTCGAACTCAGACACGTCTGTGTGGAAGAGACCTACCTTTGCCTCCTGGTCCTTTAACCTTGCCCACTGCCAAATCTCGTTTGTCTGCGACATCTTTGTTTTCGGATCCCATTCTGACTAAAGCCCGTCTGCTCAATTACTCATACTGAAATGAAAAAGTTTGAAATTATACATTTTATTAACACAGAAGTTAAATACTTCTAACCAATAGTACGTATGAGCACTTAAATTATTTTTCCTATTACTACTACTTGCCATAAAGTACTGCTGAACTGCTGTCAAACCTGCACGTGTTATATATGTGCCAGAATACATTGTTATCTCGAAAGAAAAAAAGAAAGAAAAGAAAATACCCTTTAATGTAAGTCAGAGAGCAAACCGCTTACGCAAGTCAGGAGATTAAAAAATAACAATCGCAAGCTCTGTAAATAACATATTGATTCCTACAGACTCGTATATTACTCCATGTGGGGTTTTTGTTTCATCTCGGAGAGAAATAACTCAGCTCATAAACAGTTTTGCACCTTTGTATCATTTACGTCAGAATGGCGGCCATCTTGCTGAGGATAAGGTAGTTTATGACGGTGTGTTCCGGTAGCCAGTTGTTACTCTCTAATTAAGTACACCGGTGCATGGAAGCGGTTGGGGTAGATACCTTAGCTTACTTGAATTGTTCGTAGAAACGCATGCTCCCAAACATTCCGGTTCGAATCCATGTGTACCAAGTTTAATCAAATTTGCAAACGTATTCGACGTTAAGACAATACGCCGTGATAAACCCAACTCGCTAACAACAGCAGTACAGTGATATATCATTGTATGTGTATCTCTCATTAGCCTTTACTTCAACAAAGATATGTTTAGATACACGGCCACATTTAAACAATAGCACTGCGCTTTGGTTGTGACATTGAACGAACAATTCAATAACGTTAAAGTCACGACATCCGGTAGGACACGATGATGGAGGACGTTTGTGCACGTTTCCTCCTGATATCGTCTTACGTTACTTAACTCAATACTCAGCTGCTACCGCGACACAACGCATTAATTGGCAACCTACGGACGTCACGTGTTTGAAAGCAAGGGCATGAGTAATAATATCCCATTGTTAGATATTAACGTTATAACCTGACAAACCCATTCACATTTGACCGCTTTATGACGATAGCCGTCAACACGCGTTGAAATAGAACCCAACATGGATTATGTGAAAATGCGATTTGGTACTCTCCAGACCCAACTGCTCATTTTCGAATTTGGAATATTAAGAAGAGAAAAAGACCAGTCTAATGCAGCGAGTAATATGGCCATACTTGCGCATCCATTACCATTCTCGTGGCATTACACAACTACTATGAAGACTTAATACAGGATATATAAGCTGATACAGAAATCGTTGCGTGTCTACTCTGCTAAAACTTAAACAGCTACAACATGACTATACCCCACGATCTGCCATTTAGAAGAAGAAGAAGTTTATTGTGAATGAAGGCTACATGACCCTGAGTTCATTTATAGGAATAATATATGCTATGCACATGCACAATTTGTCTTACAAACGTTCATACTTCTCTACATTTGTATTTACATAGGTAAATGTCTTTTTATATACGTGGACAGGTTTTTAATAACAGAATCATTTCTGGTAGATAGAAGACTTGGAACAGATGGTTGCACATGGTAACATTTTGGAATTAAATTTTCTCTACTACTTTTATAAAAAGGACAAATTAACAAACAACGGTATTCATTTTCTATTTCATAGCGGTTACATTTCATACATAAACTAAACGATGACTCTGTGGTTGTATTAAATCGAGTTTTTTGTCCATTTAGATTATTCAATCTCCGATCGCATAGTTTAGAATTAGAGATCGTGGATTATATATGTTTCAAACTACTTGCCACATAATCATTTATAGGAGATATGTTCTTGTAATCAAGATGTAACTAAGTCAATCTGGCTGTATTTATCATCCACGACTAATCAAGTTTGTTTTCATAGAAACAAGGAGTAAAATGTGCGCTTACCGCTAACTCAGTCAAGCACTATAGGACGAACGCGAGACAGCTCTGGGAGTGGCGTCCGCTCGGCTTCCCTACCCAGACTATACTACCCCAGGTGGGACGGACCCGCGAGGATACGTCATCATGCCCATCAGTGACAATTTAGCGCCTTTCAGTCTTCAGTGTAGCCGTTTGCAAACGTTTACAGTGCAGAAAACAGTGTATCGTCTCACTTCGATGACTTCATGCTAAACGCTTTGCTGCTGAGGGCGACGTTTGTCGCACCTTTAAAGCATACAGAAATGACCACGATTGTCCCTTATGTGGTGATGCGTGTCTACTTTGTCCGCATCAACCCTTGAAGGGCGGTGCCATTGCAAGTTCATCACCTCCGTATCCTTATTCTTCTAAACACAATGACTATCAGTTTTCGACCATACCTCATTAAGTTCTAACTTAAATGATTTATAGTTGTCAACTGTAAAGAAATATTGGTATTCTCCGAAGTTCGGAAAACCTTTATCAAGCTAGTGTATCCAAGAACGCATTGACGTACTTAATGACAGATTCCCACGTTATGCTGTGATACTGAACTCGAAAATATCAAATTAAATTAACTGTTGTGCTTTTAATTTCCATTTTATATAGTTGAGCAATAATTGTTTTAAATTTCATTTCATGGTCTCTGTCAATGGCTACATCCTGAATGTCGGCCAAATGCACCACTTCTTTTGACTGCGCCCGTACCGGGGAGTATACATTATGCATTTACATTCGACACTAAGCCTCGCTGAGATGTTCCGGGGTTAACGACCTAATATCTGATACCATGCGCATAGACAGACAAGGCAGTATTGATGTACAGACAATCTATCACACTAAGTGGAATATTGTACTTTAACACTATGCCAACAAGAAACTGGATGGGAAAGAATACGACATGCTGCATAAACGCACGGCTTGATTTTTACACTGAGAGTCAAATTATTATAAGACACGCGTTACATGGGAGGGCAAGAGCACCTGCGAAATAATCACACTGACTCGAAAACACAACATATCATCGCAAGATTTACATTTTGTGTACAAAATATGATATAAGTAAGTTAAAAAGTCAACGTTGAATCATCGACGAATCAGACAACTGATACACGGCAATGAAGCGACAGCATGGTGTCTAGCAATGAATGGAGCCTGCTCTACAAAGCATTGTGATGCAGTTGGTCATGCTTGAACAATACAGGACATACATTAAATCTTACCTACACTCGTCTGAAGACTGGGACTTTGTAATGGTGCGATACTGTCCGACGCGAAACATGAAATGTGGATGACGTCAGAACATGCGCCTGTCTTGTCACGATTTTGTAATGAGTTCGAAATTTGCATCTATCAATGAGCTTAAAATATAAATACCCCATGTCGTCTTAATTAAAAGCTTCTATTCTGAATCGGCTTCCTTAAACATTTGACGTTTTCAGTTTGTAAGCACTGAATGACATAACGCCAATGTTACGGGGCTGATCTCATTAAATTATAATTTATATTCAAAACGAGTGTATCAATATGCAAGGGGGTGGGGTGGTTTTAAAAAATATGTAAATGAAGTTCTTAAGATATACATGTTAAAGTCCGTTCAAGCGTGTGCGCTGTTGCATGTTTTTTTGTTAATAGTACGTATTTGGGTCTTTGGTCTAACTGAATAAAGTATGAAAGAAAACAATGGTTGATGGTGTTGAAGGGGAGGGTGGGGGTGGGGGTGGGGGTTATGTATTAGGGACAAGGGGATCGGTGCGTACTTCGAACAAGATAATATCAATTTCAGCACGAATGTTATGGAAAGCCACAACTGCCAAAATAATTGTTTTGTTTTGGTCACGCGTGCTGTAACGGGTATACATCATGGCGGCTAGCACATGATATCCCTGTACATTCACCTTCACAGTGAGTGAGGGTCGCCTTGCCCTCAAAGTAGGCCAGGTCGGGCTGTGCTCGTCACGAGGAGAGGGGATTTGGGGCGTGGATACATATAGCACTAGTACATGGGTCATAGAAGGCTTGCATTGAAGTACAATTTTGCGTTCAAAGAGGGAGAATTTATGTATGTCAACTTCTTTATCATGAGGAACAACATGTTTCGGAGTACATACTTACTCCTTCATCAGATGAATAAATGCTATGAAGCAGAGAACATATCATGTTCCTGTAAGAACAGTAAAGTTTCTTATGTCGGTCATTTCTAAATGCCATTCAAAGACTTAAGTTTGTATTTTCCAATAAATGCGTCACGCGTATGAGGTACAATTCCAAAGACCTGACATCCCTATGGTGCGTTCATGCTGACGCTACGGTAGTGTGACCTTATATTGCCCCCACACGGAACAGTTGGCATCAGGATTTCAGAAGTTGCAAGTCATGTCGGGTATATTTTTCAGCACATATTTCCAATCGTTCTATCTCTGTCAGAACATCCCCACTTGAACTTCAAAATTACCAAGCAACGGCTCTAAATTTCTCTACACCTCAAGGGGTGGCAATGACCTCTAGTCTATAGCGCGACATCACGTGACTGAAGAATGAGCTGGTTAAGAGTGTGATGGCGTTACGCAAGATGGCGTCAGGCTTATCGCGGACTGCTCACAGTGTTTCTTGCCCTGTCTGACGAGCTCGTTAGTGTTCTGCAATCTAACTGTTTCCTCGTTAACCTGCTCGCTACATACATCATTGGGTTAAGTCTTATAATCTGAGTCTGTTTTTCTGGAATTACATGATCTTACGTTTGCATCTTTCATTGTCCGAGTGTCTTGGACGCCAAGGTAATATATGTCATCGCCAAACCGAATGCTTTTGTAGCTTCGGCTAATTTAGTTTTCAAAGCCAATCTCACACAAAGGACCTTTCAGGCTTTGCTCAGTGATCAATTCGTAGTATAATAAGAACAAAGTAGTTATGTATATTTAGTCAAGACGTTTTTTTGTGATTGTTGTGTTCGAGACACTCGATCTATACCCGATTAAAGGGTTAGTTGCCTAGAGGTGGCGGGAGTAGGGTGTTGGTTTTGATGTCCGTGTATGACAGCACACAGACAGGAAACTCTCCTGCCATTGTGGCGCTGACGAAGTCAAGTAGCCTACCACTAGTCATTAAGGGCTGTTTTCAATTAGTCAATTAGTCTTGTCAACATATTTTACATATATTTTGAAATTCAAATCCTTTAAAGAGGCAAATTGACAGTTGTGCTTGTGAAACGCCCCTAGTAACGCACGCTGTACGGCCCTCGGTGTCAGATAAATCATATGATCTCCCTAATGTTTGTTAGAACAAACACAATTAAACAAAACACCACTTAGTTTTGAATTGCCCTTCAGAACATTTGGAATATTAACACAGTGATATAAGTTAAAGACGAAATGGTTGTGAAGTTCTGAACTGAGTGAAGGCTGCATATGTGCATTGTAAGTCATACTAACTTTCCCTAATACCAGATGAACACGTTTGAACATGTGCGTTTTTAATCTGTTTGCAGAGTTACGTCCCTTTGCTATAGCATTTGTGGTCGATGAACGGCTGCGTAAAGGAGAGAAATCTGATACCAGATTGTCAATAACCCGTCTAGTGTCCACACTCACTGCATTTTAGCCAACATAGTTAAATATTTAGGGGTTTAAAGTCCTCCCACATCAAATTACACCTAAGAATAAGACGTTCGCTAATCCGCATTACGATACATTTTTAAAAACTGATTTTTAAAATTCCCATATGCGGTTTAAATGATGACAACCCGGATAATTCTGTTTTTTTAATTCATACAGGATGTGTACTTAATTGTATGAACAAAAACATAATCTGTAGTTTTGGAAAACGTTTGTTAACACGCGTTGTGAGGAGACGTTTTCGTTTGTGTTTGAGCTAGCCCACTGTGAACAGGTACGGAAGCGGTTCACACACATCGCGGAGACGTGCTGCGTGGAGTTTTCCTGAAGGAACGCTGCGGGGAGCTGTTGTATTGAGCCAAGGCGAAGGAATTATTCTAAGTTGACATGTTTGTGTGAGGGTGACGCTGAATTAGTTGCGGAAGATAACGAACAATCGGTTTAATTGCTACAGAACATATTTTGTTGAAAACAGATAGCTTTAAAATCTATGCATTGTGAAAGAAACGATGTAATATTGGGAACTTATGTTAACATACATGTCATGATTTGTCAATGGTATTTTTTGCACTGATTTTACACACACATACATGACGTGACTTGACGTAACGTGACGTGATTTACCTACATATGTAGCTTACCCAACTGCTAACTGTTAATACTAAGTCGCTTTAATTTGACAGATTGCATTCATCCTAAGCTACACCTATGAAATATTAGGATGCTTCAAAGTTAAGTTTCTTGTTCTGTAAATGTAATTCTAGCATATGACTTTCCCTCAGAACACGCTTGCTTACGTATGACGTAGACAAAATATTATGCAGTGTTGATATCTGACAGTGTTAAGATACGAAAACCAACTAATATCACTCTGGGTCTTACAATTATACACTGGGGCACCTGCGCATCAACAAACGTGGACAATGTTGAACGTCGTATATACTGCTGCCGCAACGCTGATTATACGGCGAATTATATCGCCTCCAGCAGCCACAGCATAGCACGTAAGGTTTAACTATCCCACTGATTCTCACTCAATTAATCTGTAGTGTACATCACACATGTATGTCTGGTATTAATCCTGTGTTTGCCTTTAAGATTACACTACTCCTTAATGTGCGGCTGAAGATTTACATTGTGTTTCAAAGAAAAGTATTAGCTGAGTCAACAGGGGTAAATTGTTAAATGTATTTACCCGCTCGACCGTTACTGATATAGAGGAGAATTTATCATAGGAAAATGCTCCAACAGAGTTAAAGAGATAAATAGATTGGTGGGTATTGACACAAGCAGCGTTACGATATTACTAGCAGATTATAATAAAGATTGTGTCCTTCAATAATAATTAGTTTTTCACAAACATGTATCAGAATGTATATTTTATCATACCATATGCCTTTTAATACCACATGTATTCTTTTGCTCGTCTATTTTTTAAACATACTAGAACCATATCACATTCTTTTCCCTGCAACATCAATTTTTCCCGACATAGACGTTAATCATTTAACAAT